ACGACATAATGAAAATTTGCTCTTGATATGTAATAAACATGCTTCTGACTTTAATTAAATACATTTATTTTTGTTGCAAACATGGTTTTAATTTATTTTGAATTATTCATATGTTTATAGAATGAACATTTTTATTTTTGAATTAAATGAACAAAATTCGGTTCCGTGTTGGGAGTGACAAGTTGACAAATGAACATCGTTCACGCAGAAAAAAATATTTTAAACGTAATAACAACAATCAATACGAAACTAACGATTTTAAATTGGCTCCCCGAAAAAAAAATTACAGTGAAATTTTCAGTGGAAACAATGCTCTAACATTAATATTTATTGTCGACAATAAAAATGATTGTTATAATGTTGTACTCTTCCGAAAACGGCAAAACTGCTACCTAGCTGTACAATGAATGTACATAATAAAATGTTGTTACAATGATTTTTATCGTATTTTTCATTTATTTTATTGTTAACATGATTCGATCATGAATAATAATGAACAACTCTATTACAATAAAAATTGTTGTTACATTAAATATTGGTGTATTTTCATTGTGGGTTACTTCACGAACAATAAAAATAAATCTGATTGAAGCATGCAGACTATGAGAGGGTCAGCAACACTGCCAATGTAATTAAGATAGGCGCTGCTCGTATCTCTGGCTTTGACAGTTCGTTTGGCTCAAAACCAGGCAGTCCGTGTCCGCTCATATCTTATCCTAGGCCCTCTCTAAAGCTTAATGGAGACCTTGTCCGTGCAGTCAATAATCATACAATAATAATAAAAAATTCCACCACTTGAAGATGTCAGGAAGGAACTCTCAGGTGGAAGCATATTTCATGGGTGATTCTCTCCAGTCGAATGCATTAACTTATCAACGACGCTAAACCACCAAGGAGACGTGACCTAGGGATATCGAGCGCAGGGGAGTTGGCCTGCATTTCTCACAAGTTCCGGATCGAATCTCGATCCATAACCAGTAAAAAAAAGGACCACCCGTAACAGACATACCACCCCCTTCCCTTCCCGGGGCAAAGTTTTATTTTTTCGATTTATTTTTAAAGTCGATAAAGTAGATCTGTCAAGCCAACACATACACTCTAAAGTACACTGTTATTTTTTTAATCAATAAATTCGCCAACCAACAGTAAAATAACAATAATATATAATGTTATTGAAAAAAAATTATATGGGAAAATCACGAAAATTTCATTGTTAAGATACTTAACAACCCCCCTTTTTTATTGTAAATTTTCCATTTACCATGAAATTTATTGTTTTGTACAACATAAATCAAGGTAAATTTATTGTAGACGTAACAATATAAATCATTGTTAAGACAATAATTTTCGTCTTATTGTTACATTGTTTTTTAATGTATTTTTGTTGTTATTTTTTTTCGGGTCACCACTTTAGTAGCCTATTGGTCCCAAGTAAACGATTAACGTACCCTATTCTAGTTGAAATTCTATTACTACACTATGTTTGTTTTGATTCGCTATGAAAGTTTGACAGATAACATCAGGGGTGTGTGGATTCATGCAGAACATGCAGGGGTGAGAGAAATAGCTTGGGACTGCTTGGGACCGTTCAGGCATAACATTTGATAACGGCACAAAAGCATTTGTAAACAATCTTTCTAAGGCCCTTTACACGTGAACCAAAGTACGCCCACGCAAACCAACAACATGATCGGATAGGAGCAACTATCACCTTTCCGAAAATGGTATTGGTTTGCGTGGGCGTACTTTGGTTCGCGTGTAAAGGGCCTTAGAAAGTTTGTTTACAAATGCTTTTGTGCCGTTATCAAATGTTATGCCTGCGTTGTTCTGGTACTGAGTGAGCCAAAAATAATAATGATTTTCTTCGGGACCCAGTGGTCTTAGAGTTACCTCTATGGTAATAATATTTGACGTAAAATCAACAAAAAAATTTCATTTTGTTTTGGCTGCAAAAAGAAATCATTATTGTTTCAACAATCCAGTATTTTTGTTCCTCAAAACCCATGGATTGTTAAATCAAAAAGAAAATCTTTTCGAATTTACAAGAGCTTTCATGGTTTTGACGTAAGCTGTCAAATTTAGGAGCTGGGTCATCAACAAAAATATGTTTGTTTTTAAAAGAGATTTCTTGTTGATGCAATCATATTTATTTTATGAAGTCTGACAATTCATGCAGTAGAAATAAAAATATGTTTATTGATTCAAATAATATGATCAATTTTTTTATGTTTTGTTTTCTATTTCACTGATCATCCTTCGGAAGGGAAGTAAAGCCGTTGGTCCCCAGTTAATTAGTCTGGGTCGATATGTAGGGTCCAGGTGTGGGAGCTGCCTTCCTGGCGTCAGGAGCATTGATACTCAGTACGGAAAACAAGATCGACGGAAAAAAATCAAGGAAAAAAATTGATTATATTTAGCAACTGCAGCTCAAACTGCAGCATACTTACTTACCTCAAGTCTCAAGATTTTCGGAAATTTTGCACTTATTTCCCGAAATTCACAAGTTTTGTTATTGTTTACATTTTTTTCCGGGTGAAAACGAGGGAATGGTTGGTAGTTATTTTTGCATTCATGGCCCGGGGAACGGACACAGCAAATAAATGCTATTGTTGGATTAATAATAGAATATAGTTATTTTTACAATAGTTGCAGTTGAAAAGTGGCTTATTAAAACAAAAAGAATCCTATTTTGAATTAATATGAATAAGTATTATTGAAACAACAAAATGCAATATAATTTCAACCGGAATTGTTTGTTCAAATACAACTAAAGTTTTGTTTGGTTCAATGCAAACAATTTTCTGTCCGTGTTGATATGAATCCGATCGACGTTGTTCATTTGTCAACTAGTCACTCCCAACACAGTTTACCCATTTTTGAGTAGGTTCAGTTTTGACATATCTGAGTGGATTATACCCAAATTTGGGTAGTTTTGAAATAGCGTGTGTATCAGTGATAGAAAAAAATGATAGATAGATGATAGAGGGTACTATCAACAATCAATACCAAACTAGCGATTTTAAATTGGCTCACTACTTGACTAGCCTATTGGTCCCAAGCAAACGATAAACGTACCCCATTCTAGTCGAAATTCTACTACTACACAATGTTTGTTTTGATTCGCTATGAAAGTTTGACAGATAAAATGAGGGGCTAGTGGATTTTCCTATTGTGGCGACCCCTCGGTCGGCGCGCCTCACCACCTGGGTTAGATCAACCGTGCATTCACATCGAAATGATTTTTATCACCAGCTCGCGGTTGATGACAACTGTCAAGCTACTGACAACGAACGGGAGCAGTGTGGCGTGCGTTTTGAGGTCATTTTGTCAAGTGCAAATTTATTACCCTACAATCTCTTACAAACTACAATTATTAAAAGCTAAAATAATAGTGAACTATAATCTGAATTACATTTACTTATACTCTAATATCGACAGTTAAGTGTAACGCTACGGTAAACAGTAAATTATAACATAACATTGAGTTGAAAACTTACAGTTAAAATCTCTTAAAGCTAACCTTAAAACTAGAGTAAAAATCTCTTTGTGGAACTATACATCGTGGAAATCGAACTGGGCTGCCGTATACGGTAATAGAAATTTGAAACCAGAAAAGATAGATTATTAATATAATGAATTACAGCAAAAAACACATATAGAGGACAGGAAAATAGGAACAAAGGTCGTTTTACCAACAATTGAAAACACTAAACGTAAGTAGCCACTGTGTACAATGTTTGAAAATTGCCTAATTAGCTACACTATTGTAGGATTTTTTTAATACACGCTAGTTATTAAAAAACCGGAATATTATTTCAATTCCCGTTGGCCGAGCGCCAACATCTTAAAAAAATCGTTTATCCCCGTCCGGATAACGATGTCGAAGCGGAGTGAATCGGAAGCGACTAGTACCAGTTCCGATGCGGCAATGCCGGAAACCTGCAAGGCGTGCAACGGAACGGATGACTCCCGAATGGTCCAGTGCGACAAGTGTGACGACTGGTACCACTACGACTGTGTGGGGGTGAATCAGGACGTCGAGAATCAAGATTGGCTCTGCTCGGTCTGCCAAGAGAAGCAGCAAGCCAAGAACAAGGAATCGACGGAACCTATTCCTCCTCCGGTGCCACCCGTAAGTACATGCGTCACCTGCCCGGTGAGTACTACCAGCATGATTCCGTTGAACTCCTCATCCGATGTAATGACGAGCACATCCGTCACATCATCCGTGATTTTTCCGCCAAATACACTATGTCCTCCATTCATGCAAAATGTGCCAATGCCATTCCACTCACTAATGCCACCCCACTCGCTCATGCCACCCCAGTCGTATATGTCACCTTATTATTTGATGCCACCCAATCAGTCAATGCAAATTAATTGCCCTATGTCAATACCACCAATATCGTCGTATCGTCTGTCAAGTTCGTACGCTTCGTTTTCGGGAGTGAACAACGGGTCATGTTATACAGTGCCATCAAGTTTCGCTCAGCCTATTCCGTCAGTGCCCAGCACCGTGCCACCAACGCCCAGTCATGTTGTACCAACGACCGTCCCAAGGGAAAGACTTCGAAAACAGCTACCGGAGCCACTGCATCCAGAGAATCCTCTGAAAACCAAGCAACAAGTTTTGGAGGATAACACGAGCCAGTATTCCGAAGCAAGTTCCAGAAGGTCCACCAAGCAGAGGCAGTTGAAGTTGGAGTTGCAAATTCTGGACGAAGATAGGAAAGTACAGGAAGCAGAAGAAGCACACCGACGCGAATACATGCGCAAACGACACGAGCTGTTGAAGGAGATGATCAACGAGAATGGTTCGATGACCGATGGGGAGAAAGAGCGATCGGACAATAGGATAGCTATTGACGATGGACGATGACAACAACTTGACACGTAATCAAGTCGCCGCTCACCAAGCCGTTTCGCGAGAACTCCCCCAATTCAGCGGAACTCCGGAAGAATGGCCGTTGTTTTACTCAACGTTTACAACAACGACCACCATGTGTGGCTATACGCAAGAGGAGAATCTGATACGCCTGCAGAAGTGTCTAAAAGGGAAGGCTTACGAAGCGGTTAAGTGTAGATTGATGCATCCTGCCAACGTTCTGGGAATTATATCTACTCTGAAGATGCTGTACGGAAATCCAGAGATTATCGTGCAGAATATGGTGACCAAGATCCATGCTACTCCAGCTCCGAAAGCGGATAGGTTGGATCGAGGGTTGGATACACTCATCGAGTTTTCGCTGGCTGTGCAGAACCTGTGTGCTACGATCGACGCATGCCAATTGGAGGAGTATTCGTACAACGTTGCCCTGTTGCATGAACTTGTGGATAAGCTTCCTTCAGGGTTCAAAGTGGAATGGGCTAAACATCGTCGAACTATACCACGGGTGAATCTCGAGGCATTTTCGAAGTGGCTGTACGAGTTAGCGGAAGTAGTGTGCCCGATCGCAAATTTACAAATCAGCGAGTCAAAACCATTGCGTGGTAACAAGAAACCCTCGCCTTCCTCAACGCGCACAGTGGAGAGACGTCCTGCAAGCTGGAAGACAAACTGCATCATCAAGTGAAGAGTGGCCCAGCCGGCTCCGACTCCAAGACGTGTGTGGTATGCAAGGGCAGCTGTCCAAATCTGGATAAGTGTCACCGTTTCAGTGAATTGGGGTACAACGCCAGGTGGGCTGCGGTGAAGGAGTTCGGGTTATGCCGGAAGTGCCTCCGGAAACACAACGGTACGTGTAAATACAAGCAAGTTTGCGGGAAGAATGGGTGTACATTTAAACACCATCAACTTCTCCACAACAACCAACGTGATGGAGCTGCCACCAACGTTTCCAGAGCTTCGGGCGAGAACTCCGCTACAATTGCGCAAAACACTTCCGTTCGTGAATGCAATGCTCATCACAAATTCACAAACAAAGGACTTTTCCGAGTAGCGCCGGTTATCATCCATGGACCGGGTAAGTCCATCAAGAACTTTGCGTTCCTGGACGATGGGTCGTCACTCACACTTGTGGATTCATCGATAGTGCAGGAGTTGAAGCTACAAGGAAAATCGGAACCGTTATGCCTCAAGTGGACTGGCAACAAGAGGCGAATGGAGAGTGATTCACTAAAGTTGGACCTTGAGATTTCCGGAACAGGACAGATACAGAAGAAATATCGCCTCGCAGGAGCTCATACTGTTGCTAGCCTGGATCTGTTCCATCAGTCCGTAGATATGCGAAAGCTGAGTGAAAAATATTCTCATCTGCAGGGTATTCCGATCGAGTCTTATAAAAATATTCAACCACGAATCTTGATCGGAATCGATAACGCCAACCTCACATTACCACTCAAGGGAAGGGAAGGAAAGATGTACGAACCAATCGCAACGAAAACGCGTCTTGGATGGATCGTCCACGGAGGTGCGGATACCGGAGAAGCTCTAGTGGGACACCACAACCACAGCGTCCAGACTTGCCCATGCAGCGAGCGGTCCGATGAAATGTTGCAGCAAGCTGTACGTGACTACTTCTCTCTGGATGGGCTTGGGATCTACAAGTCGGAAAAGCTTCTCATCTCTAACGCAGAACAGCGCGCGCAGCGAATACTGGAGTCAGCCACCCAGAAGGAAAGCGGTCGATACCAAGTTAGCCTTCTATGGAAGTTCGACGACATCAAGTTACCCAACAGCAAACCGGCAGCTTTACGGCGTTTCCATTGCTTGGAGGCTAGAATGAAGAAGCAGCCGGATCTAGCGGAAGTATTGCGAGAGAAGATCGAAGATTACCGACTGAAAGGGTACATCAGGAAACTTTCCGACGAGGAGTTGCAAACTTCACAAGAGCGGGTGTGGTATCTGCCATTGTTCCCGGTGTTCAACCCAAACAAACCCGGAAAGGTGAGAATCGTGTGGGATGCAGCAGCTAAAACCAACGGTGTTTCACTGAACTCAATGCTCCTGACAGGGCCGGACCTTCTCACACCGCTCGACTACGTTCTCTACCGGTTCCGAGAATTCCTAGTGGGGCTCAGTGGTGACATCAGGGAGATGTACTTGCAGGTGTTCATGTGCAAGAAGGATCAGCATTGTCTCAGAGTGCTCTGGTGCGACGACTCGTCTGGTGACCCAAGCATCTACGTGACACAAGTTATGCCGTTCGGTACCTGCTGTTCGCCAAGCTGCGCACAATACGTGAAAAACCTCAACGCCCGCAAGTTTGAACGAGAATATCCTGCAGCCGCTCAAGCGATCACCAAGCAACACTATGTGGACGACATGCTGGTGAGCGTCGAATCAGAACAGGAGGCCATTCAGCTCGCCAGGGATGTAAAATTCGTGCACACTCATGCTGGGTTCGATATGCGAAACTGGATTTCCAACTCACCTGCAGTCGTGGAGGCGATGAAGGAAGAGAAGACCAACGAGAAGAGCTTAAATCTCACGATGGAACTGGGAACAGAGAAGGTTTTGGGTATGTGGTGGTGTACGTCTACCGACACGTTCACCTACAAGCTTTCACCAAAGCATGACCGGGAGCTGCTCGAAGGTAAACGCAAACCGACGAAGCGGGAGGTTCTACGGACGTTAATGGTTGTCTTTGATCCGCTAGGACTGATATCGAACGTGCTCATCTACCTGAAGGTTCTCTTCCAAGAAGTTTGGCGAGCTGGCATCGGATGGGATGACGTGATTCCGGAAAGTCTCAACGAAAAATGGGAGAAATGGTTGGAGATTCTACCGAAGGTGCAGGACATCAGCATACCTCGCTGTTACCGTTCCTTGACGGAACTGAGTCCACACACGAACATCCAATTGCACACGTTTGTCGACGCAAGCCTGTCAGGCTACGCAGCGGTCGTTTATCTACGTTTTGAGCAGGGCAGCACTGTGGAATGTGCTATCGTAGGTGCGAAGACTCGGGTGGCTCCCCTCAAGTTTGTGTCCATACCGAGGTTGGAGTTACAGGCCGCGGTCATCGGAGTCAGGTTGGCTGATAGGATTACGAAGTCCTTGTCGTTCAAGGTTCATCAGCGGTTTTTCTGGAGCGACTCGCGTGACGTCCTGTGCTGGATCCGGTCAGATCATCGGCGGTATTCGCAATTCGTTGCATTCCGCATCAGTGAAATTCTGGAAACAACGAACATAGCAGACTGGGGTTACAAGCGGTCGAAGGAAAATGTTGCTGACGATGCTACCAAGTGGCAGGGTATGCCAAACCTCACCGAAGATAGCCGGTGGTTCAAAGGACCCAGTTATTTGTGGGAACGTCAAGACCGCTGGCCATCTAATCCGTACCGTGAAGCTGGCACCCATGAAGAACTCCGTGCAAATCTCTTCTACCATCAGGTGCAACCTCAACCAATCATCAACGTTCGTGAATATTCTTGTTGGGGGCGCCTGTTACGAGTCACAGCTACAATATTTAGAGCCTCACGCAACATGCGCAGCAACGCGAATAACACAGAACGCATCACTGGTCCGCTATCAGCTGAGGAACTGAAGCATGCAACTAACTATTTGCTTCGACTTGCTCAGGCAGAAGCCTTTCCAGACGAGATAAGTGTCCTTAGCGCGGGTGCTGCCAGCAAGGCGTTGCAAACGTCGAGTACGATCTACGTACTGAACCCTTTCATGGATGAGCAGAAGGTACTTCGGATGCATGGCAGGATCAACGCATGCGAGAACGCTTCCATGGACGCTAGGAATCCAATAATTCTCCCGAAAGATCATCATGTCACATGGCTCATACACGGAGAATAATGAGTCTAGTTTGAAACAACAAAAAATATGGTTGAAATTCAAACTAATATTCTTGTTGAATCAAAGTCAATATTTGTTTGTTGTAAACCAGTGAGTTAATTCGAAATAAACGACTTTATCACCTGGTTTCTACCCATATAACCGTATTGTCTCAACATAAATTTTGGTTGATTCAAACTAAGGTTATAGTTATTTTCAAACATTTGCTTTTATCTTCGATTTGTTTTGCTTGAAATTGTATGTTTGCTGGCTGCATCTAAATCGTTTTCAATCGCAAGTCGCATTTACACAAGGTAATGTGTTTAAATTTCAGTGAAATTAGTGAATACTCGCCTAAATAATCTACCTCAAGGCAAGAAAATATGTTTTCGGTAAAGGTAGTCCACTGTTCGAGAAGAAAACCATTTACAAAAGACGATTTGAATGACTTGCTACTGATCTAGGAGGCTGCTGCAGCATTATGGTAAAACTTTTATCTTGCGAAGTTATCTTTTTACATCCGGATTACGAAAAAGTAGCTATTACAAAACTTAGAACAGAAACAGAAATGTATATGATAAAAACATTATTGTATTTGCCAAGGAATATCTCATGTCTAATTAATAAAATAAATCCCAGTAAAATCTTCAACTGTCCATGATCTACGGAATACGACTGTTTTGCTTACATCGGCAGTCTAGATATATAAAAGAAAACACTAAAATACAGGGGTAATAAAAAAAATTTTGGTTGTATCAAACGAGATCGTTGGTTACTTGTAGCATTTCGTTGCTTATTTCAAGCAACGAGTTAATTGGCATTGAACTAAACTTTGTTTGGAATTAACTATATGATTTGTTTGAATTTACCTATGTTTTATCAGCTGTCAAAATCAAACAACCAACATTATGGTTATTTAAAACAAATGTTTGTTGAATTTAGGTTGGAAACAGAAACAATAAACAACCTCACATTTTAGTTTATTTCAAACATCAAAGTTTGTCAGGATAAAATAAAGATATGTTTGTGCAATTTTCAAAATGGAAATTTGATTGAAGCCATAGTTTTCTCTCCGTGTAGTAAAGGATCATCATGAGCGGTACCATCATCAAAACCACACTACCGTCGTGAACGAGTTGCGGCAAACATTCCGGATCCCGAAGATCAGGCAGCTATTTCAACGAGTAAGAGCAAGCTGTCAGGAATGCAAAAACCTAAGGGCTGTCCCACGTCCACCTCCTATGGGCGACCTTCCTGAAGCAAGACTGGCGGCATTCACGCGGCCGTTTTCGTTCATTGGCATTGATTATTTCGGTCCTTTGTTGGTGGCGGTAGGGCGTAGAACTGAAAAGCGGTGGGGTGTGCTTATAACATGCATGACTATACGGGCGGTACATATTGAAATTGCACATTCGCTTAGTGCGAATTCGTGCGTAATGGCATTGAGAAACTTTATGGCACGGCGAGGCGTACCGAGAAAGATCTATAGTGATCGAGGCACAAACTTTACGGCAGCAAGCAAGGAACTTGTTGTGTCGAATGAGGATCTTGAGGCGGCGCTCACGGAGATGGACCAGGAGATGTTAATCAAGGAGATAGTCAGTCCCGAGACGGAATGGACATTTCTTCCTCCAGCGTCTCCCCATATGGGAGGAGCCTGGGAAAGGCTAATACAGTCGGTGAAGAAAAATCTCTCAGCGATGAAACCAGGGCGAAATCCAACCGACGAAAGTCTCCGCAATATGCTGATCGAAGTGGAAAATATCATTAATTCCCGTCCGCTTACGTACGTTCCAGTGGAGGATCCAGGTGCTCCTGTATTGACACCCAACCATTTCCTGCTGGGTTCCTCCAGTGGTCTCAAACCATCCACGGTGTTCGACGATAGTGCAGTGGTTCTACCATAGAGGTAACTCTAAGACTACTGGGTCCCGAAGAAAATCATTATTATTTTTGGCTCACTCAGTACCAGAACAACGGTCCCAAGCAGTCCCAAGCTATTTCACTCACCCCTGCATGTTCTGCATGAATCCACACACCCCTGATGTTATCTGCCAAACTTTCATAGCGAATCAAAACAAACATAGTGTAGTAATAGAATTTCAACTAGAATAGGGTACGTTAATCGTTTGCTTGGGACCAATAGGCTACTAAAGTGGTGAGCCAATTTAAAATCGTTAGTTTCGTATTGATTGTTGGTTCTACGACGGTCATGGTGTGCATCACAGGTAGAGGCGAATATTTTTTGGAGACGATGGGTACGAGACTACCTGCCGGACCTAACCAAGCGAACAAAGTGGTTCAACGAGGTCAAGCCGATTGAAGTGAACGATATTGTGGTAGTAGTCGATTCTGGATTACCCCGGAACTGTTGGCCTAAGGGAAGGGTCATCTCAGTCAACAAGGGTAAAGACGCACAGGTGAGGTCAGCGGCGGTTCAGACCCAGACGGGCATCTACGAACGTCCGGCGACAAAGCTGGCCGTCCTTCAGGTTCGTCGCGATGAGGAGGTAAACCAAGGTCTTGGCGTACCCTGGGGGGAGTGTGGCAACCCCTCGGTCGGCGCGCCTCACCACCTGGGTTAGATCAACCGTGCATTCCCATCGAAATGATTTTTATCACCAGCTCGCGGTTGATGACAACTGTCAAGCTACTGACAACGAACGGGAGCAGTGTGGCGTGCGTTTTGAGGTCATTTTGTCAAGTGCAAATTTATTACCCTACAATCTCTTACAAACTACAATTATTAAAAGCTAATATAATAGTGAACTATAATCTGAATTACATTTACTTATACTCTAATATCGACAGTTAAGTGTAACGCTACGGTAAACAGTAAATTATAACATAACATTGAGTTGAAAACTTACAGTTAAAATCTCTTAAAGCTAACCTTAAAACTAGAGTAAAAATCTCTTTGTGGAACTATACATCGTGGAAATCGAACTGGGCTGCCGTATACGGTAATAGAAATTTGAAACCAGAAAAGATAGATTATTAATATAATGAATTACAGCAAAAAACACATATAGAGGACAGGAAAATAGGAACAAAGGTCGTTTTACCAACAATTGAAAACACTAAACGTAAGTAGCCACTGTGTACAATGTTTGAAAATTGCCTAATTAGCTACACTATTGTAGGATTTTTTTAATACACGCTAGTTATTAAAAAACCGGAATATTATTTCAATTCCCGTTGGCCGAGCGCCAACACCTATGTTTCGAGGGGTGAATCGATTAGCTTGGGACTGAAGAGAGTACCAGAGCTGAGCCAAAAAGTTGAGCACGTTATTTCGGGACCTTCTAGTCTTAGAGTTACCTCTATGGTACTATCAACAATCAATACGAAACTAACGATTTTAAATTGGCTCACCACTTTAGTAGCCTATTGGTCCCAAGCAAACGATTAACGTACCCTATTCTAGTTGAAATTCTATTACTACACTATGTTTGTTTTGATTCGCTATGAAAGTTTGACAGATAACATCAGGGGTGTGTGGATTCATGCAGAACATGCAGGGGTGAGTGAAATAGCTTGGGACTGCTTGGGACCGTTGTTCTGGTACTGAGTGAGCCAAAAATAATAATGATTTTCTTCGGGACCCAGTGGTCTTAGAGTTACCTCTATGGTACTATCCCTATCATTGATAGGAGTGAGAGTGATATTATCAGCAGCGAACCTATCAATGATGGAGATGTTATTATCCATCCCTATCTTTTGAGAGAACGTTTGTGATATTATGATCACAGACAAACAGACATAACACATTGAATATTTTTCACTGTAAAACATCGTCGCTAAAACATTACCACCATCTGTTGAGTACACTGTGGTAGGTAGTACGCTGAACAGATGGCGGTAGTGTGCAAACGTCAAACGCAAGGGAATTGACTATGCGCGCCACAGGTGGCGGTACTACCAACTATGATACTTTTAAATTGACCGTTAAATGCTTGTTCGATGAACAACTTGCGAGTGTTATGTCTGTTTGTCTGTGTTATGATTATCAATTAAACGATTTACGGGTTTTAGACGTCATCCTGATTCTGGAAATACCCATATTGAAGGGTATTTCGTAGTATTTCCGACTTTTTCTGAAATTGGAAGCTGCACGGAACCAAATTTTGTTCTTTTAAGTTAAAAATATATATGTTTATTAAACGAAAATATGTATAGGTCAAAGTAAATTAAAAACATGTTTTCAACAAAAATATGTATGCTTAAATTAAATTCAAAAGCATACTTATTTTAACAATACATAATCTGAGTAATCAATTTTTAGCGTGTCTTTTTTTTTCCTTCTTGTTCACAATCTTCAAACTTAACCGGCCTGCAAGCGGCGAAACCGAAGTAGAGGGTCCGGAAACCCACGCAAACAAGCACACTAATCCAGCACACTAAGATTTTTTTACAGGAGTCAGTATTTTTTACTGGGTTTTTGAATTGCTGAAAAAGTCGGTAAAAATTCAAATGACCGTTATCCGTAAGGAATCAATGAAATCGATCAATTTTATTTTCTATCATTAAATGAGGTTAACAGAACTAAGTATGTACAAGTTCAGAACAAATTTTCTCATTAATAAATTTTCCACAGATTTTTAAACTTTTACCGAACAGTTCCGCAATTCAAAAACTCGGTAAAACCGTACTGACTCGATTAGTGTGAGCATTTAGTTGTTCGGTTTTTTTTTGTACTGGGCTTACACGGTAAAACGAAAGCTTTACTGAACATTCAGTTTAAATCAGGTGAATAACCGACGTTCTGCAAAACAAAAACTGAACTTCGGTATCGTTTGATGCAAAATACTGAACACAGAATATTTATTTACTGAGAAAGTCGTTAATTTCCAAATTTTCGTGATTTCACGAAAAGTCAGCAAAAATAATTACTGTACCCAAAGTAGTCTTTATTTTTTTACCGACTGGTCAGCAAAATAGCCACCTTGTTTTACCGACCACGAATTGTAAAACTCTAAACTGTCAATTTTATTCCCGCCGCCATTTTAGCTTCAGTAAAA